GCAAATCAAGTTAAAGAGATGAGGTCTGGGCCCCTTGTGCCCCTCTTCCAGATCCATGCCTCTTTATACAACATTAAACAATGGAGTTATTAATTCCTAAAAAACACTGGATGGAGGAGTTTTAGCTCCCTTGTACCCCCTCCTCTAAATCTGCACCTACAACATTAAATAATATAATTATACAACTATATATTAGAAACATAAAACAAAGTAAAAAAAAAGTAAAGTTACAATTCATGTAATACTTACGTAGCCAGAGAGTTGCTGGCAGGTGCTGCCAGCCAATTGCTTTTCATCTACTCGGCAGTTCAAAATTAGTGACAGATAACCTTAGTAACCAAGTTTATTGGCAATGAAAATGAGAGCACAGTGATTCAGTTGATTACTTACAAGCAACAGTTACATGGATGAGCATTCTATAAACAAATTAATTGATCAATATTGTGATTAATCAATTAATGTTTTAAATTATTATCATTTCTCAGTATTCCAACAATTGATTAATCAAAATTACAATTAAATCAATTGTCATTAAAATAATCAACTAATTAAAATGAATTCCAACAGTTGATTCATTGAAATTACAATTAAATCAATTGCCACTAAAGTAGTCATCTAATGAAAATTAGGGTTTTTGATAATTTTGAATATCCAAGTATTTCAAATATTGCCATAATGTTTGTTTGTTGTTAAGTGCAAAGTTAATGGGGGTGTGTCATGATTTGAAGGTACCAGGTTTGATTCCAATTGCTATTAAATTTATTCATCCTGTCTTTGTTATTGCAAAGCTTTGACAGCTATCTGCTGCTGTCACTAATTTTGAACTGCTGACTAGAGGTAAGGTAACTGGCTAGTAGCATTCACCACCAAATCTCTGATTATGTAAATATTGAATTAAGGGTAAATTTACATTGTTGTTTTTAATGTACTCTTTAATGTTCTATAAACAGACCCAGATCTGGAAGAGGGACACAAGGGGTCCAGAGCCCCATCTACTGTTGTTACAGAAATTAATAACTGTATTCTTTATTGTATAAGGGTCTAGTGGAGTGGTTCAGGAAACAATAAACCCCATACTTTTTTTTCTGAAATTATTAATTGTATTTTTTAATGTTGTATAAGCAGGCACAAGTTTAGAGGAGGATACAAGGGAGTCAAAAACCTAATCTCTTCCACCTATTTATTTCAGAAATTGATTATATAATATAATATTTTATAAGTAGACACAAATTTAGAGAGTCCTAATTTGTTTTGCATTTGTTTTTGTTTTTTCATAAATTAGCAGAAAAAAGTCATTTTTTAACAGAAAGAAACATTAGATATCAGTATTTTTACTTGATTGGTCTATTAGTTATCATAAAAGCTTTTTTTTTCAAGTTTTCAAGGCTGGAGTCCACATCAATCTGGTAATGGCCTCAATCAGTAACTCATTATTTTTAGACAAATATAATAACATGAACATCAATTAAGTGTTGTTGTGGTAAATTTTTGCATCTTGGCTTTTTCTAGTCACACTAACAATGTGTGTATGTTCTAGACTTGAGAAATTTGTTTTCATCAAAGTTAGTATTGCATAGGGCACCTGCAGCTCTTGTAACATACTTGTTACAAAATCAGTTTTTCATTCTTTGGAAGTTGTTACATTTGCAAAAAAACGTTTTAATAATGGTGATGTCCAAAATAAACAAAAATGGGAGTGCTACGATTGTGTAGATAATGAATTTAAAAAAAGAAGAGGAAAACAGGTATTTTGTTTATGAAACCTAAAATATAAATTTAGGTGTATAGTTTATATATTTATTCTAAGCATAGTTATAACTATTTAATTTTGATTACAAAATTTGAAATGTTTGCCTCTTACTCTCTTTATTTTAATGTCAGTCACATTATTAGAAATAAAGATATATGCTTTGAAATCACTGGATTATAACTCAACTGAGCTACTATTAATGGCTTTTGTAGTCTAATTAATTTTATTACTTAAGTTATTAATATGTATACCATAAAGTAAAGTAAACAATAAAAGTAATACAAATTTATCGTAAGTGTCAGTAGAGGTCTAGTTGGAACCCCTCCATCCCTTACAATGTTTGCCCCTGTTTTGAGTAACAGTTTTTCAAAGAACAAATCTCTAACAGTATTTAACATAATTTGAAACATGCATGAATTATATCTTCGAAAAATGTTTAACATGAACACTCCATCTTGTGAGCTTTGACATTTCTCAGTTTTATTTTTTATGAACATAAGTTTTATTTGTCAAATAGTATGTATTGATGTTTTGCTTGTGTTTTGAAAAATAATTTTATTTCCAACAACAAAAGAAATATTTGATGAAGGTCTATAGCCAAAACTAATTGATTTTTAAATATTTTATTTTTGATGTTTTTAATTGTTTTTGACAATTTGTAGTGCATACTGGAGGGACTTACACATTTTAATAATAAAGTTTAAAAGAATTATAATTATAAGAGAACCTTTATTTTAACTGACATTTTTCCTTTGCTGTTTATTCAGGGCTAGTAAACCACAAAGGCAAAATGTCAGATGAATAAAATTTCTCTTATAATTATCTGGAGTGTAAAGGTTGTTTTTCTCTAATTTTGATGTTTTTTAAGATTAATATGAAAGTTTTGTTAAAAAATGTCCCTAAGTAATATGCTTATTTTTATCAACAAAAATTCAGTTGTTTTAGTACAGTAATCTGTAGTCTTGTGGAAATTTGTAGAGAAGAACTGCAGAATGCTATTAATCTTATTTTTTTAGGTTGTTAAAGATTTTGTACTACTTTACCTGTACATGGATGTGGTGGTTAAAAAAGTAAAGACTTGCGGGTATAGGGGGCATCTTGTACTAAGTGATTAATGAGCCCATTGGATAATTCATTAGCAAGTACCATGAATCAAATCCAAGACTCAAGTCATGAAGCTTTTCCTGTGCACATTTGTAGCTTTTACAATAAAGAAATGTAATGGTAGTATTTTGATTACTTGGATAGTTGAAATAATCAAAAACCTTGGTTTCAATTAGTTGATTAATTTCTCAATAATTGATTTAATTGTAATTTTGATTAATCAACTGTTGAAATAACAAAAAGCAATAATAATAATAATCAGAACAACTAATTGTGATTAGTTGATTATTTTTGTGAAAATAATTGTTGCTCAAAAGTAATCAATTAAATTGCTCAGCTTTATAATGGTGTAGTTCTACATATAAATAATGTTTTAAAACTAAGTAGCAATTTTGAATTTACCAGGTTTTTATGGAATGTTTTGTGAATGGTTAGAATGTATAATTTTCCATTAATATTAACTTCCAAGAGAATGCTATGTATTTAGAGTGAAGTAAAAATTCAACTTGGCAATCAGCATAGCTAATGAAATATAGTTTTCTTACATTTCTACTTATAAAAATTAAGATAGCATTGTTTTGTCAGTTGGGTACCCTTGCTGTTAACAATATTTTTTTACGATAAACCAATACCTCATGAGCTTTGGCCAGTTTAGGAGATTTGTAATTGTCTTTAATACATATATTAAGTTAACAATGCAAAACAATCTTTTTTATTAAAAGTATAATAATAAACAATAAGTCAAAATATAAAGTAATGATATAATAAATAGTATTATCAGTATTGTTAATAAAAGTAATTAAGTCAATACTACAGTATACCTTACTTGGGGAATACAGAAACACTAGCTGTCCTTTTGAGCTTCTGCCATAGGAGAAATCTCTTTGAATAATGTAAACATAGTATCACATGACCATTTTTCTTAAGCCCTCCTTAATCTGTCTTTTCACCAAAGAAAACTCTAACCCTTTTGCAACGGGTACTCCTTTAAACACTTTTATGCACAAGTCACCGTGTTACAATCGACATTTAATTAAACACCTATGCTATTAATGTATTTTGAACTAAATTAATGTTTTAATGTATGTTATATTTCAAAGTATTGTGTTATCTAAGTTTTAAGTCCTTTATTTCTAAAGAAGCCTTTGAAAAAACTACTTAAACCTTCAGATGAAAATTCTTTACTTTGGCACCCTGTATGTTTCGGTAATACAATGGATGTTGTGTGGATGTACGTCTGGACTATAAGATGTTTATATAATTTTTGGACTCATATATTTCCAAGTTAGAACTTAAAGTTTTTTCTTAGCTAAGTACGTTATAGTTAGAGAGACAGTTAAATTCTATTTATGTCTGACTTTTATATCTTCATTAATTCTGTATTGTTTATGTTTTAAAATGCATAATTGAAGGTTTAAACATTTTTTAAATATACAACTTACTCAGTTCTCAAGGCGTAACCTCTCGTGCAAGGGGAAAATAATTTGTTGTGCATCTCTGCTGAAGATAATGTAATTAAGCCTCCTCCTCCCACGGTGCTCTGCTGACTTGTGCTGAAATGAGTAATAAATGGTAAATGACAATAAAGGAAAATAGAAATAACTATATATGTAAAGGAAAAGACCTGAAATTACAAATTTAACATTAGCATTGTATGTTAATGATAGTAGCTAGAGTTAGTGATATGGTAGAGAAACTGAAAAATAAAATATAAACACTTACTTGAAAAACGTTTGTTACTCGTTTAGGACATTCTAGAGATTATGTAAATGAAATTTGAAAACTGTAAGATGAAGAAAAGTATTGTTATATTTAATATGAAAATCACCTTGCACTTGAACTATTTTAACAGTTTGAGTGCATATAACTACTGTAGATAAATACCATTTTTACTAGAAAGACAGAATTAAAATAATGTAATTCTTTGTGTAAAAAATAACTTCAACAAAATCTTATGAAATTTTGTGAAGAATGCTCAGAGTTACCATATGTTCTTTGCATAAATGTCCTTCCTCCAGTCAAAGTGGTACAAATTGCAACAGCCTGAGGCAAAAGAGTTAAGCTACCCCCCCCCCCTATTGTCTAGCATCATAGGTGACACACATCTGTATTCAACATTACATTAACAGTACCTTTTGTTTTCCAGAGCATTGACTTTCATGAAAAGGGAAAGAAACACCAAGAAAATGTAAAGAGGAAATTAAATGAGGTAAAAAGCATATTTCATGTGTGTGTGTGTGTGTG